GGTTCTTTATTTTTTTTTCTAAAATGTGTAAAAACTATTATCTTTATTATGTAAATCTAATTCTATAATAAAGTGTTACAAAAATTGTGATGCTTACGCAAATTGATGCTATTGGAAAGCGCGTGCGTAGTGTACTGTTGCTATGGTTACCTCCATCCAGCAAAAACGTCTAGGGGCATGTTCAAGCTCAAATCGGTGTGCACCGTTTTGCTACGGTTTCCGGTTTGAACGACATGTTCCCTGGAAACGGTGTGCAACGGTGTGCAACAGGGTTTGAGATGCTATATTTAAACCGATTTCATCAGGCTCCGAAAATTCTTCAAAAGGAACACAAAGAATGGCCTTCTCAGCTGTTATAGTTGCAACTCTTGCATCATCAGAACAGTGTTCAACGCACCACCGTTTCCGTTTAAAAACGTTTTGCACCGTTTTGTCGGGGCTGAACGCAGCCCTGGTGTAAATCGCTATGCGTTCTGGCTAACTTGTAGCGTTACTGAAACGTTTGAAACACCCAGTTGAAAAATACAAATAGCCTATTTGTTTGTATTAAAAAAATAAAAATATATAATAATATATTTACTTTTACTAAGCCCGCTTCCTTATTCTAACCTTAAAAGGGGGTCTGATCCTCTGAAGTCCCCCCTAATTTGCACACTGTCTGTAAACACACTACATAGGTGCTGTTTAAGTTTAAGAGGTTATGTATTTTGCCCTTCCCCGCAGTTTTTAGATTTGACGGGTTCACGAAATCTATCATATTTCGCACACACCTCACGATATCCCGCACTGAAATGTTTAATGTATAAGCCAACATTATACTACACAGAGAGCGCACATTATAAATATGCATGTATTCAATTAAGGGTATTACACAGGATTTCATTTGCATAAGGATTTGGGAGCTTAACATGCCTTTTTATATTTGTACAATAAAACTTTAATATTATCGCCTGCCCTTCAATGCCGTGGGTACTTTTTATTAATAGTCTATCTGTCTACTACATTACTTTTAGCTACTATAGGCTAGCCTACTACTATCCTCACAGTTCAGATCAGCTTAATAGGCCCCAATGATTGCCAGGACTGTGGTAAATGAACTGTTATATTTGTCACTCTACATAAACAGTAGCTGCACCTGTTCCTCTCGTGACAGCTCATAGTGTGTATTTTTTGGAACGTATCGCATTCCATTATTTTTCATTGAGTGAGTAGCCTAAATATTTGGATCAGTGGACAAATGTGTGGCTTTTTTCAGTCGAGTGTTTGTTCTAGGGTTTCCCCCAGATTCCCACAATTGGACGCTATTGCACATTTACTGCAAAAACGAGTTAGCATGCAGCGTCCTGCTGTTTTCTCTTGCTGACCGTCCTTTTTCCTTATTACTGTGACTGTGTGATACAGAACAAGTCACATGAGAACAAGAATATTTTGGACAATGTCACTCAGGTCAGATTAGAAAATGATGGGTTAAATTCCTTGGTGTAATTGTCCTCTTAAAGCGTTTGAATGGCCCGTATGTTTGAGACAAACCAGCAGGGACTTTTCTTTATTCAGTGAGCTGAACCTATAGCCTTCAAGTGCATCATATAGCTAATGACGATCGATTACATGATCACATCATTTACAATTTATGAGCCACATACAATAAACGGCCAATATTAAAGAATGTTTATTAGTTCACAGCACTGAATTAAAATACAGTTCACTACGGTTACACTTCCCAGCAATGTATGCGCAGCTCATGGTGTTGTCAAAAAGCCATGTGTTTGTTTATAAGACACAAGCTGATATTGTGTCAGAGTTAATGCCAGCCTTAATCTGTCGTGCTGCTTGGAAACACGCTTACATTCAGGTTGTCCTATTGGAGGGTGCAGAAGCTGTTTGAAGAATAAACAAGAACCAATTTTTTGAGCAACTAACGAGCTCTTCCCGCAGCTTCTTGAAATAAGGATTTTGGTTTTAACACGGCGTACAAGAACGTTGTTTATGAATTGTAATTAAACCCAAACACATTTCAAACTGATTTGGCAGAAATTTCACAAAGAGAGTAAATATTAAACCTAATATAGTGTAAAACAATGTCTAAGCATTTTTATATTTTTTGCGCCATGTACATTATTTCAAAACTTTTGCACAAAATGTGAAATATTTTTGCACTACTTATAGGCTATTAGTTTGTGCATGCTAAAATGTTTCGTGTTCAGTGGGCTATAATGCAAATGGAAGGCGAAAGCAAGTACACTAGCAAAGTTTGAATGAGCAGTATTGTTATTAAAGCGCTTATTCAGCAAAACATGTTTTTAATTAGGTTAAAGCACTGATTATAGTGAAGCATATGGACTTCACAGTACAACATATAAAAGCATTACAAAATATAAATCCATTTCTTTCCGGATCATCTTTGCTATATTAACTCTTTCAAACAGTGGCACTCAAAAATCAATAGATTTTTGCGTCGAACTATCATACCTATTTTGTTAAAACACGAGTCATGTGGGGGGCTGTATGAATTTGTCTCCCACTGGTTTGTTCCTGAGGTCCGCTGCTCTCTAGGGCTCGAAATTAATACTGTCTCGCCAATTAAGTTCAGAGCGCCAATTAAGAGTGCATTATACATTTTTTGGGTAAAAACAAAACCTAAAAAAACTAAATGAGCAACTGAAAACGCCACCGCAAAAATCAGTGCAAAAACATTTAAATAGAAATTTTTACTCAAATGTAAAAAGAAAATAACTATGTTATATGCTAAATTTAATCTCTTCCGTGCTTCTGTCCGTTTTTCTAACCCTTAAGTCACTGCGTGGACACCAGAGAAGTGTCTCTCTTTGCGCTGTTAGATTCATCACCTATTATACTGGATGGACTGAATGAGTAAAACAAATATATGGCCCTTTGGGATTTGGAACCAGTGCCTCACAGCAGTCCATATGAGGTACAAAAGAGGACGGCCATTAATAATGGATGATCCGAGATATTCATTGTGAGTGTTTTCCTTAGCTTTCCAAACACTCACATCATTGAGATATATATATATATA